CTCCCTTATGTATATACAGTTAACGGGTCTCCTTTAGGAGAAGTGAATAGCTATAAATATCTGGGTGTAACAATTGAAAATAGCTTGAAATGGGGGAGCCACGTCAACAACATCTGCTGTTCTGCTAAGCGCACATTAGGATTCTTGAAGAGGAATTTTAGGTATGCGACCATGAGTGCCAAGCTGATGGTCTACAAAACAGTCATACGACCAGTATTAGAGTACGCCAATGTAATATGGGACACCCATCAGAAAAATCACATTCAGAAATTAGAGAATGTACAAAGACTTTCAGCTCGGTATATACTCTCCAGATACTAACGAACCGACTCTGTTACTGGCAGGGTTGTAAAGTACCTAGGTACAAGTAACGGGGAATCGGTATCTATAGGTACTTAAGTTGTACCTGAGGTACAAACCTATAGGTACTTTAATTTCTCGGTATCTGTATTTGTATTTTAGGTACATTTTCCAGTAACTTGTAACTAAGTGAAGCTACTTTTTACAGGTATTTTTCTTTTCACTTCGTCAAAATGGTAAAAACTATAAATCTCGAAATATTAACACACTACCATGTGCCGTGATTAACGTTAAGTTGGGTACAACATCGGAGGCACTGACTTGATCGAACGATGTTTAGCGAACGAAGCGCCGCCTATGATGTTTCATCGAACGACACACTCTAGTGAATGTAGGTGTTCATTTGAGCGAACGGTGGATTAGCGATGCCGTTCTAGCGACACCAATTTATTTAATCGCTTTGGAACTCCGTTTAGGGAAAATAGCGGCCTGCTTCCTTCATTTCAAACCGAAATCGACTTCATTGCGTGTTTGAAGTTCCTCTGACAGCTATACAATAACTTGAACGATGTGCGCCGTTTTTGTTGTCCGCATCTTGTCCTGGTGGTCACACTGTTCTGCCATAAATACAATATAAATTATAATTACAATCGTAAAGTAATGTAACGTTGCGTATATAATACAGTTTCCACTCAATAAATCGTACTCAAATTTTGCATTTATCCAAACTAAAAAAGTTCCGAAAGAAAAAAAAAAAACTAATTTTTCTTCTGACTAACGAAAGAAAAAATAAAACGAGGAAGCTTGAAGCCTTTCGCTCGTCATCGCGAAGGTTAGGTGCATATGCACTCGACTCATGTATTTCTTCATGCGGCCGACGTCTTCTCGGCCCGTTGGCGTCAGCACCGGCTCTGAGGGCAAGAACTTCAATGAGCGAGTTTCGGCGGTTTTGGTGTGACATGGTAAACAGTGGAAGCTGTGGCCTCGGTGAACCAATTGGAGCGTGAGGACAAGACACGTAAGGACTCAACACCGATGTGGACATCGCATTGACACCAATAAAGCACATTGATCGAACTCGTTTTTGAGTGTATCCTTAGTATAAAAAGCCTTACTTCCAATGTATTTTGACAAATTTGGGGAAAATAAATAAAGACAGTATCTTTAAAGTAACTGTACCTGTGCTTAGGTACAGTGCTAATCACACTTGTCTATAACGCGCGAGCGTGCGGCTTTCTCCGGGGAGCACTAGACTGGTGGCATTCACAAAAACTAGGCTAGTCACGTGGTGCAACATGGAACGGCCCGCTCGAGGGGTGTCGTCCTGCCCGCTCAATCAGCTGGCGGCGAACGCGGAAGGCTGCTCGCACGCTTTTTACAAACGTCATTCATTGCCCGAACAATAAACAGACTAAAGCATGAAGGCGTATCAACGATTTCGTCATCAAAAAACAAAAACAAAAAAAGATATCATAAAGCACTTTACTTTTATCGGTTATCAAGCTCGAGCGGGCCGTTCCACGTTGCGCCACGTGACTAGCTTAGTTCCGCGAATGCCACCAGTCTAGCGCTCCCCGGAGAAAACCGCTCGCTCGCGCGTTATAGACAAGTGTGATTAGCACTGTACATCTTTAAGTAAGTACAGAGCGCGACACTGTTAGCGCGAACAAGCGATCGCTGGTTTTTCCAGTTTTTCTCTTTGAAACCAAGGGATGCCATCCAAGTTATTATTGCTACGGAAAGAGCTCATTGAGTTCTATAATGTAAGCGATAAAATGTCGTGCTCGCTAATACCATTTAGAAGTAAAATGCGAAAATGCGCCGGTGTCGTGTTCGCGCTAACAGTGTCGCGATGTGTACCTAGGTGCGTACCTAAGTGCCTTTTCGTATGAGTAACTGTAACTGTATCTTAGGTACATTTTTTAAGTAACTTTTACAGCCCTGGTTACTGGCATGTTAAAACAGCTTGACCTTATAGATCTTTCCGAGCGGCGCAGGAATGCTAGACCAAAGTACATTTTTATGATGTATCATGGTCTTTTCAACATTGACTACACCCTGTATTTGAAACCCCGTATAACTCGAATTCTAAGAAATAGCCATTCTAAAATGATCCAGCCTTTTCAAAATAAAGTTAATGTATTTCACTATTCTCTCTTTCCTAAAACAATAGATGAATGGAACCTTCTACCGCAGGAAATTGTGAACTCAAGTTTCCCTAAAAAGTTTTTAAATAATTGAAGCGCTTGCAGTACTAGTTTGTTCATTGTTACTATTGAGTGGTGCATGCCGTTTGCTACTTTAATATTGTTGTCCTTGTAATATGATTGCAAATTATACTTGTTGATGCGGTGTTTCTCGTTTTCCTGCTGCTGTTTATTTCTGTATATTTCTACACTCACCTGTGATGTATGCGGTGTTCTCGTTTTGCTGCTGCTGTTTATTACCGTACATTTTTTTACCCTCTCCTGTAATGACCCCAAAAGGGGTCAACAGAATTTTGAAATAAATAAATAAATAAATAACAAGAGGTTGTAAAAGTCCCGACGGCTTAGTGGTGCGGGATTTCTTTGTTTGGCATTGGTGACATGCTCGAACGTATTTGCTGATGGTGCGGGTCATGGCAGTCCAAAAGTAGTTCCGGTGGATTTCAAAATAAGTTTTGGAGAATGCTAAGTGCCCGGCCGCAGGGTCGTCATGATGAGCTTGAATGATTTCTCGCTGTAGTTGTGGCGGAACAAATAGAAGCCATGTCCCGTGGTCGTAGTTACGGCGGTAGAGAATGCTATACTGAAATAGACCGACCTCACCAGTCAGTTTGACTACGCCAACGCTGCCGCAATGCATCGAGGGAACTTTAGTCTTTCTGCACGTGCGACGACCTTGCTGGAGCTTTGCGCGTGCGGAGCACGAGACGGCACGAGACCTTGCATGCACGGCCGTCTGCCTCCCGTGAACTAAAGTTATGGCGGCGTCACGCATGCGCCGAACGTTTAGTAAGATCGGTCTATTGGCGACGTGCGCGACCGAAAGCGTCGCTGTGGTCGGCCTTCCACGATTGGCCCAAAAGCTGACTATGACGTCGGAAAGGGTATACCATCGACGGAAATAAGAGGAATGAAGGAACTCTAATTTTGACGGTGTTGGCAGTGTTCCTTTGAGAGCGCAATGATTTCAAGCTTCCACCATGCTATTTACAAACACCGTAGAACTTGTTGTTTGCGATGTAATGACGTCACAAGGGGGAACGATAGGAGGGCGCCACCGAAACATCTCGCCGCTAATACCACCGTGGTCTATACGAAGAGTCGGGAGCGCCGTTGGGTCTGTACTCTGGGATTCTTTAGCGTGCCGTTCAAATGCAGCGCGCGGGCGAACACCGAAAAATCAGAACACTGCCGTTGCGTTTGCCAGAGCTTGTGGCACCCTTCTAATCAAACAATAGAGTTCTGTTGCATGGAGCACCTTTCATTTTTTTGTGCGTGTGTTGCAAAAAGAATGTGGAAAAGCGTGCTGCGACGAAAAAGGGTGTCACTCGCTTTAGATAGCTTTATGGGGTGTTGTTTTAGCGACTATGTTGAATAACCGTTGACGTTAATTTACTTCTAATTTGAAGATACATTCCTTGAACTTCAAGATATTACGCTCCATGTGTAATATTGACACGAACAAAGCATATACTTGTAGCCTGCGTAAATCCGACGAAGCTCACTTGCAAATGGGTGTCTTAATATTGTCGAGTGCATAACGCGGTGGAGCAGTCAACAGTCGTGAGTTTACACCCTTACAAGCAAAAAGGGGAAACTCTCCCGCCATTCCTCCTTTCCATTCGAGAAAAAGGAAGTCCCCCCCCCCCCCTACTTTCTGCGGAAAGTAGCTCAGATACCCCCCCCCCCCCACCCCCCTCCCCCCCCCCAAAAAAAAAAAAAAAGAAAAAATCGCGGTCGAAGAAGAGATACACACAACACGGACTGGCGCTACTGGCGTTGTATATGCCTCTTCTTCGTCCGTGTTTTTTTTTTTTTTTTTTTTTTTTTTGCGCTTTTTAGTTTTTGCATTACAATGAACCAACTAGCCCAATCCAAAGTTTTAACTCAGATACCCGCTCCTGCGTGGATAGGAGGAGAGAAGAGTGCCAGAGGGAATGGAGGGAAGACCCTGGGCACCGGTTTTCTGTTCGGCAGAAGACGATTATGTAGGTCGGCTTAACGGTGTAAATATTTTTTTAGTTTTCCCCAAATGTCGAGGATTTTTTTTTTTTTTCGAATATGTGTACGTCAGTACATTCCTCAATGATGAGACCACCTTAGGTTTTTAATGGCGTTGGCCGTCGAACAGCCGAATACCGCACACACCCTTCGAAAAACAAACTGCTGCGCATGCGCAATGCCCACCGCTTACAAGCGGGGCAGGTCAACACCACCTAGAATAATGAAACCCTCCGCGTGGTTTCCTCTCCCTCTATGAAACGCCATCAGAGTCGGCTATTGGACCCGAGCCCGACCATCGACGCGCTGATTGTGCACGAGCCCCAGCCGAACACTGCCACAGCACTCGTGCCCAATCAAACGCCTCGATCGATCTGACTGTAATGATTGACAGTGCGGAGGCGGTGCGGAGGCCTTCAGTCCAGGTGCTGTTGGGCAGGTGCGCTTGAAGTATGGGTATAGGGGACTAAACCTCGCGAACTTTGTACGCAGGGGCCAGCAGCGCCGCCGGCATGGGGCTAGAGGAGGAAGAGCGACTGCTGCTGCTGAACGCCAGTACCGCGGGGAGCACCAGCGTGCCCACCAACTACGGCACGGGAGGCGCCATGGGATTCCCGACGGACACAATTGGATCCAAGGCCACACGCAAGTACGCATGAACTAGATGACCTCAACCCGTACAGATCACGGATGCGATCGAAGCCGCGTGGTATTTGAGAAGGGAACCGCTCGAAGTCTCAGTCGTTACGCTGAAAGGCTCTTTCAGCAGGGAGGAACACTTGAAGCTGGCAGGAAGAACCTCCTGGAAGCTCCAGAGCGGCAAGCTCTCTCTCACTCTTTCTGGGGCTTCAGGGAGGTTCCAAATTGGAGGGTACGTCAAGATTCGGAACGAACAAATAACAAATGGCTTGCGCGGACACTTGTAATACATTAATCCCGCCTTTCTGGTTTGGCACTGCGGCTATTTTTCTTTGGTTACCATTACATTGTTAGCTGTTTCACTACTGTCGCCCGTACCAACGCTAGCCAGATACGCAAAGCCCACAAAGCACGTGGAGAGGATCAAAGCCGGAGTCGCATTGCTTATACATCATACAAAAGACAGTCTGCATGCAGATCGGAACGCGAGTCACCGCGAGTTCCGTGTGCTTCGAAGGCCGCATAGCAATGAGTCCAAGGAGGCACTTGGCACGCGGCATTCGAACCCCGGATATTGCGGTGACTCGTGATTGCAGACTGTCTTTTGTACGATGGTATAAACAGTGTGACCCCGGCTTAATAGAATACCGATCACAAAACGGCAGCGCACCTTTGTTCAGCGCCGGAGCACTGACCGGGCGTATGCGCCACGTCATCCTCCTCTCGACGCTGTAGTCCAATCTGTGCATCACGTTGAGATGACGTTGGGCAAGGCGCGCTCGAGTCTCACGGCATGCGGGGAAGAGTACACGGGCCTCTTGTTGACCCAGTGGCAATGGCGCACCAACTTGTTTATAAGTGTGTGTGTGTGTGTGTGTGTGGGGGGGGGGGGGGGGGGGGGGGGGGCAAACCAGACACCCTCTACCAGGGCCGAAGGTGGTACCCTTGTGTATCCCTGTGGCGTCGCCGGCTAGTGTTTGCCCTGCCCAGAGGCGGCTGTTTCAAGGGGGGCAAAACACATGCCTTGCCCCCCCCCCCCCCCCACTCTGAGAACTGGTGGGGGGGGGGGGAAGGCAGGTGCCCCTCTTGACCCCCCCCCCGCCCCCCCCCCCCCCCCGGTTGGTACGCCCATACCCGGCGGCGTTTCCCATGCCCATATCACGTGTTCGAAGTCCAGACTCCAGAAACTGTAAACGATCGTACAACAGAGCGGACGCCCTCACGTTACGCAGCCGCGCTACCTCTGTTAAAACACCGTACAAAAGACAGAGTGTAGTCTGAGGCTCTTCCTTGTAGGGCGGCCAGATTGGTCGCACAAGACAAATAGACATTTCCGAAGCATGTACGAAGCTGCTTCCGACGTGCTCGAGGCGCACATAATTCTGCTACCGTGTCCGCGGCGAGTCTGACTGTGGCTGTAGGGGTTCTTTTGCTGCGCACATCATGTCAGGAACGTGCGGCTCTTTTTGCACGAGTGCTAACGGAGGCTGCAAAAACCTCGCTTTCCCCCAGTGCACGCGAGCGAAGGGCAAAGTCATCCACTGCAATACTCGCGCGTTTCGCCCGGTTTTCAGGGCTCCAAAATGGCGAACTCACGTACGCCGGACTGTGCATTTGTAAAACATGCGACGCTATTCTGAAAGCCTTAAATACGACCGCGTCTAGAAATTTTGATCGAATTCCGCGTTTCTTATATCGAAGACTCGCGTATTCGCACAAATGCTTTATAGCACTAATCAAAAGTGAAGATTCGGCCATATTTCTAAAAACAATTCAAAATAAAATTATTTGAAAAAAAAAAGTTAAACCCGGTGGTTGTATATTTTGAACGGACGAGTGAAAATTTTAGTTTGTAATTACCTGGCTCTACTACCTGCGGTGATTTTCTGGCGGTAATGAGGTTATTAAAAATAAACACCCCGCGAATTAATACTGCGATAGCAGTTAGTGGGACACTGCGCGGGTTTCGCGCCGTAGACCGCGCTTCGTATCGACGCGGGCAATTTTCGGCACTCCGCCAAAATATTCCATACTGACGTCACGCCGCTGGACACGACTCCTACGTCACGTCGCGCCACCTGTTAACCGGCGCCAGCTCACACCATGACGTGACATGTTATCTCAAGTCACGTTGCACAGTGACGCCACGCGAAGTAATGAAGTCAGGTGACACCGTGAATCACGTGATGCCATGACGTCACGTAGAAGCATAAACGGGAGACTGCTGACAATGGAAACAATAAGAACAAAGCGTTTTCGCTAATTATGCCCGAAAGTACTTGGAATGGAGAGCGTGCTGATAAGGGTAATATAAATAATGGGAAAGTTCTCGGGCGATAAAACCAATAAAGCTAGGTGTGTGTGAAGCCGCCGAAACCGCGGGCGTGAAATTAGGTGGAGCTTGAGTGCGCAACTTTAGAAATGTCCTCCATTGACGACAAGGCAATGTTAGTTTGTGCCCAATGCGGAGCGCAAATTCGTCTGCTTCTTTTGCAGGGGTTATGGTGACGTAATAATAACGCCGAGCTCTGATTGATTCTGATTGAAGGATAGTGGGTAGACCTCGAGGCAGCTTGCATTGAGGTCTACCCCACTATCCTTCAATCAGAGCCAATCAGAAATCGGCGTCGTTCTGACGTCACCGGAAACCCTGTGCATGAAGCAGACGACTTGCTCTCCGCATAACGTTGCATAAGACGTTCAGGCAGCCACACCGACGACAGGGAACGGTTCATGCATACACATGCAGTACCGTCGTTCCCTGGATTTCAAATGTGGGCGCGCGTTGTCCTTGAGGTCGTCCTCTAGGAATTATACTCGAGGTTCACGTGAAGATGGAAGACCAACTTCACTGGTTCTCCATCTTCACGTGAAGTGGATGGGCTGGACAATTTTTGTTTTGTTTTCCATGAGTGACATTTGCGCCAATATTCTAAGTTTCTGAAAATTCAGTAGGCACCCAGTTTAGACCGGAACAAATGTAGACATCAACTCAGAACAAAAAGCTCGAGATTAAAGCCCTTCGTGGTCGTGATAAGGAACAAATTTGAATAGACTTCCTAGTCTTTCGTCTATGCAATTGTGCCAGCTTGAGGATACTACAATCTTCCGTCGGCGCACGACATGAAAGCGCCGACGGAAGAGTGCGCAACCTGTCGAGACGTGCGCGCGCTGGGGGAAGTTTTGAGGAAGTTATTCGTGGCTCTACAGCATATAGGTAGGTAGGAAGCCTCTTGGTTGAGTGCTCTTGTCGCAGCGTGTTCGTGTTGTGCGTTCTGGAGGCACTACAATTGAACACGTAAGAGTGCTGAAGTTAATGCTTTACAAAGGGCAAGTTACAAATGAAGCATCCAAAACTGGACTGATGCACGAAGAAAATAATTAAATCGGGCGATTATTTTATGTAACATTTATTCACGATAAAAAATTTCCAAAAGTTTGTTTCACAGCCTGTCAAGCTGGACTTGCATAAAACAGTGAATATTCTAAACATTTGGACCTTCACTCCCCAAAGTTATAAATCCAAGGTGAAAAATGTGTCACTCCATAGTGGTACTCGAAGGGGAAAACGCTCATGCTCAACAAACGGCAATGTAAAATAGGCCTGGGAAATACCCTTACTACATCTTCCCACGCTTGTCGTTGATACAAGAACACTGCGCTAAAAAAATGTATGTATATAGAAACATTTCCTTTTTTTTTTTAGCAGGCACGCAAACAAAGCACAATCAAGTCTTTGTGAATACTGCTGGGTGCAGTATTCACAGAGCTTGTACTGCTGGGCGCAGCACAAACATTAAAAGGCTCAATTGTGGTTGCAAAATTCTAAAGATTCTCCGCCGCAAAATCGATCAATGCAAAATGATGGGTCCCAGAGTCGTCCTCGAGGGCAGGTGGGATTCTTGGATGCGGCGACGAAGTTCAGCCGTCCTGCAGGCCGCTGTGCGAGGCACTTCAAAATCTCGCGGCCAATGGCACGAGCGAGCAGCGGCGGCACCGCGTTGCCCACTTGTCGGTGTCTGTCCAAGATGGTGCCGAAGAACCGGTATGTGTCCGGAAAGCCCTGGGAACGTGCGCACTCGCGCACGCTGACGACCTGGTGCTGCTCGGGGTGGAGCACCCGGCCCTGCTTGCCCATCGGCTCTGGATTTGTAATGGTTGTGCTGAAGAAGCCATTCCAACCCAGCCGCCCGTAGAGCCCTGCCCAATGGTTGTGCCGGTTACCCGTGTGCGGCAGGCACCAGGGGACCAGGGTGTTGTCCTGGCGGCAGACGGGGTCGCACGGCGCGTCCTTCGAACAGGGACACACGCCGCGAAGCGCCCCCGTCGAAGACTTGCCGTTCTTGCGGTCGTGGTGCGTGTAGCGCAGCTTCTTGGTTAAGGTCAACCCGTCCGAGAGTAGCACCACTGCGTTGGGCAGGTCACGCCAGTCAGAGCCCGGCGCCAGCGGGATGTGGCGCATCCGGGCCTCGACCAGGGGCGCCATATCCTCACAGATGTGGTCCCGAAGCACGGCACCGCCGCCCCGGAGCGTCCGCTGGAACGGGGTGAGCGCCTCCGCGCCGTAGGGAATCTCCTCACGCTTGGCACCGTTGCGTATCTCTGGGAGGTCCAGCATGGCGTCCTGGACGGTGAGGGTCCGGAGCGGCGCGGACAAGGACCACTTGCAGTTGGAGAGGTATTTGCGGTCGTCCACCACCACGGAGAGCTGGCAGGCGCGGGACGCGAAGACGTGCTTCGGCTCTGGGTAAAGGGGTAGCTTCTCGCCGGGTGCGGCCGCCAGAATGATGGCCCTCCTTCGCGTCTCCGGCACTCCATAGTTGCCGGCCTGGAGGATTCCAAAGATGCACTGGTAGCCCATGCTGATGAGGCAGCGCAGGGCCAGCTTGAGCACCATGCTGCGCTTGAACGAGACGAAGTTGCGGACATTCTCCAGGACGAAGAATCGTGGCCGGCAGTACTCGCAGCTCAGGTAGGACGCGATGAGGGAGTTCTTGAAGGGAGAGTATTGCCTCGAGTTGAAGCGGTTCATGCCGCTAAACCCCTGGCATGGCGGCCCCCCGCAGATCTCCACGTCCCCCTTCTGCGGCAGGGTCTGACCCCGCTCGTTGACGCTCTCCGTGTCCATGACGAGGCGCAGCAGGCGATTGCAGTCATCCGTGAAGACGGTCGCGTCCGGGAAGTTGAGCCGGAAGGCGTTGGCGGCCGGTTCCTCGCACTCGATGGCCCAGCAGGTTTCGCTCACGCCGGACCGGTGGAAGCCCTCGGACAGGCCGCCGCAGCCGGCAAAGACGTCGAGGCCACGGAGCTCCTGCCGCAGGACAAAGTACTCCTCGGGATCCTCGACGTTGGCCGCCTTCTGGGAGCTCTTGCCCTTGCCGAGGCAGCCCATCATGCGGGCCTTCGAAGACGGCTCTGTAAACGTCTTCGTTCTGCCGTCGTATGCCTCGCTGAAGTAGAAGCGGTGCGGGCCCTTCTGCAGGTAGTCGTCTGTGTCCCGCGCGAGGTTCTCCCCGTAAATGACGTTGCACTTCCCGCGCACCTGATTCAGGTCCACCAGAGCCTCTTCCTCCGAGTAGTACAGGAAGTTCAGGTCGGCTTCGGGCTTGGGCGCGTGCGTGTTCTCGGATCTATAGAACTTCTTGACCAGCAGCTTGAACCGCTCGGGGCTGCCGGAGGCGTCGCCGCTCCCAGACTTCCCCCGGATCGAAAGGATCTTGCCGATCCTGAAGGGCTCCGGAATGTTCACATTGGAGCCCTTGACATACTCTGTGCGCTTGCGGTACTGCTCCGTGTAGATGTCCTCGTTGACATCCCCCTTCCTGGAGGACATGCCCGTCTTGGGGGCGGCCATTCTAAGGCCGAACTGGAAAGCGTCCGGGGCCAGGTAGACGCACGTGCTCCCCGACGGAGAAGGTGTAGAGGCGACGCTGGCGTAGCACCGCCGGCCGTTCTCCTCCTCGACCACCTCCCCGGGGATCGCCGTCTCGCGCTTGTGCCGGGCCTCGGCCTTCTGGCAGGAAACGCAGGTGTGGGCCATCTCGCAGCCCCCCGGTGGCACCAGCTCGGGCGGATCCACGAAGCGGGCTTGCTGGGGCTCGTACTCCTTCTGGTAGAAGGCGCGGCCGTCGTCCTCGTCCCCGAGCACACTCTAATACGGAAACTGCCGCCGCGGCTGAACCAGTCCTTGGACACGCCCTTGCGCACGACGCTGCAGACGTCGCTCACCGTGCCCAGGCTCTGATGCTCGCACTCGCTCACCGGGAACAGCTCCCGGGGGTCAGAGGTCTCGCCGAGGACCGGGTCCGAGCCACGCCAGAACCAGTGGGCGTGGAACATCTTCTCGCCCGAAGGGTTCTTGGAGAGGTAGACCACCCGGGCGACGTACAGGGGCGTTCCGACGTCAGTAGGGGTCACCAGGACGAAGTCGCCCCAGCGCAGCTCCTGGCCGTTCACGATGGCCCGGCCGAAGTAGGCCTTCTTGTCGTGCGACGCGACGGGATTGTTGTCGGTCCAGCGCACGTCGCTGGAGCCCTTGCGACGGGTGCTCTTGCGGCCGCCATCGGCCTCCACCTGGCTCGCCTTGCGGTCCATGGCGTCCTCCATCTCCCCTGTGTCCCCGTCGTCCTCCTCGGCCTCCTGGAAGACCTTGTTGAGGCAGCGTCGCTCCTCGCAGCACTGCTTGAGCCGGCCGCTGCCGCCGAACTTGACCTGGTCGCGGCACGCCTCGCACTTGCCGCAGTCCGGCAGCTGGGAGGCATCGCACACGCCGCACCGCTTGTGCCGGGGCGCGCCGGCGGCCTTGTCGTCGATCTGCTCCCCGAAGAGCACCTCGAACACATCCCGGTCGAGCGGTGTGGTCGTGGTCAGCGTACCGACGGGCTTCTTGCGAGCCGCGTCGCGCTGGTCGCACCGCGTGGCCCTGCGCTGACCCAGCGTGACCCCGGCCAGCTTGACCAGGCTGCGCAGGCACGGGGTCGCGATCAGCGTCGTCTCGTCGTCGTCCGCGGTCACGTCCAAGCTCTGCACCTGGTCAACCACGAACTGCGCGTTGCGCAGGAGCATGTCCTCGGTGTACTTGCCGATCCCCTGCGGCGTCAGCTCCAGCTTGTTGAGCAGGTCCTCGTACGTGGAATTGGGGTCCCTGACCACGGTCTCGATGACCAATATGATGACCGCATATTGCTCGCTCGGCGCCATCAGCACGCAGTCGGCGTACGGGGTCGTGAAGCCCACCATGGCGCTCTCGCCGCCGTCGAAGCCCGCTGTCCACCAGGTGCCGATCGGGCCCAGCGCCTTGGTGCCGATGCCGCCGTCGGCCGACGGGTCCTCCGCGTAGATGGGCTTCACGTAGCCGCTGAAGTACAGCTCCACGTTGCGCTCGATGAGGCCGCTGTCGAGCGGGCACAAGTGCGTGTGCTTGTCGTACACGCAGAACTGCGTCACCTTGTGCTGCGGCGTGTCCATCACGCCGTCACCGCCGTCGTCTGCCTCGTTGAACACGCTCAGCTTGGGGTCTGTGAGTGCCAGGAACTCGTCGACGGCGTCCGGCGTGTCGCCCTCGAACAGCCGGATCTCAGAGGCGTCCAGCACTTGCCGGCACGCACTGCACCGCGTATACGTCACGGCGGGCTTGTCGTCGTCGATGGTCGCAGGGGCCTCACTCTTGGGACGCTTGGACATCTAATAATAATAATAATAATAATAATAATCTTTATTTGCACAGACAGGTGTTTTCCTGGGGGCGTGCGAGGCGAAACAGAAAGGCGGAAGCCCGTACGCTGGTGCGTCTGTTGGCCCAACCCCAGGAAACGAAAACAAAGTTCAACATAACAAACAAAAAAACACACAATACTAAAAAAAAAAAAAAATAATATTAACAATAATAAAAGGGGGGGGGGGGGGGTGTTACGCAATCGGTCGCATTTACGAGGCCCTAGCACGGCCCGAGTGTCCTCAGAGGGCGTCCAAACCGAAATCGCGAAGCGCGCGCGACTTCCATCGCCGCGACGGGGGGCCCTGCCAGGAGGGAGAGACCGAGAAAGGCCCAACACCTTGGGAGGGCGAGCCAGGTCCCGATCCCAATCACCTCCCCCCCGCGACAGGACCCCCCATCACGGCAACAGTCGAGAGCAACGCGCGTCCCGCAATCCCGGCCCGAACGCAACTTCCCCACACAATCAATTCCGCGCCCGCGAAAAGGCTCGGCACAGAAGCGCGGATCCCGCCCGGTCTTCTGGGATGGGGAAGCGCACATCCAGGGGCGCCGAGAGGAAGGCCTCGATCGCAGCTGGAAGAAACGTGCGGCTATGGCGAACTGTGCGAGCCCGTAGCTGCTCGGGTTGTCCGGACCGCTTACTAATGCGGAGGACCGAGTTGAGATAAGTGTTCTCTAGTGAACCGTCCAGGAGGCGGCACAACAGTCTCACACGCGCAACGACCCGTCGATGGTCTAATGTCTGCCAGCTGAGGCGCCTCAGTCGATCCTCATAGGTCTGGGGGGTGACCAGCGTCCGGTCCGTCCGCGACAGGAGAGTTCGTGTTGTGCGACGCTGGACCCCCTCCAGACGCTGAGAGAGGTGGGCTTGGTAGGGGCTCCAGATGGAAGCGCAGTATTCTAAACGCGGGAGCACCAGAGCGGTATAGAGGATCCGAAAGGCCTCCGGACCGCAGGAGCGCGACACCCTTGTGACGAACCCGAGGGTTCGACGTGCCTTTGCCACGATGTTGGAAATATGTAAGGTAAAATCCAAAGTAGGTGCAAGGGTCACCCCCAGAATTTGAAGGTGTGTGGCGACGGACACAGGAGTGCCAGAGAAAGAATAGCAAGGGGGGTCAACACTCTTCTTCTTACTGAAGCGCATAGCAGCACTTTTGGTGAAACTAAGTCGTAGATAGTTGGCAGCAGACCAGTCTGCAATCAGGGAGATGTGGTCTTGAAGGCGGGAGCTAGAAGAAGGGTGGTTCAAACGGGACAAAATGGTTGTGTCGTCGGCGTATTGGATAAGCAGGGTGTTCTCCGTCTTCGGCATGTCATTAACATACACTGAGAAAAGAGTGGGTCCCAGCACAGAGCCTTGTGGCACACCCGAGGAAATGGTGAAGTCCTCAGACGAAGACCCGTGGAACACCACCTTGTGAGAGCGACCAATAAGGAAGCGAGCTATCCAACGTAGCAGGGAGCCGTGTACACCAACCCCTGCGAGCTTCTGGAGAAGAAGGTGATGGTCCAGCGTGTCAAACGCATTGCTATAGTCTAGTTGGATGAGGTCCGTGGAAGTGTGGTCGTCCAGCGCATCGCTTATGTAGTGCGTGATGGTGGCCAGGGCAGTTTCGCAACTTCTTCCTGGCCTAAATCCATGCTGCGACGAGGAGAGTATGTTGCTGGCGGACAGATAATCTAGAAGGGTACGATTTAGCATCCGCTCAAAAGTTCTGCACAGGATCGAAGTGACTGGGACTGGCCGATACGATGAGACGTCATTCACAGGCTTGCCTTTCCCTTTGTGGATAGGCGTCACCAAGGCCCGCTTCCAGAGGTCTGGAACAGCAGCCGTGTCCAGGAAAGACTGGAATATTGATAACAAAGATGGGGATACCCGCGGGCAGAGCAGCCTGAGGAATGCCGGTGGGAAGTTGTCAGGGCCTGGTGAGAGCGAGGGCTTAATTTGTCGAAAAGCTTAATGAAGGTGCTCGAGTGACAGAGTTATGTCGGGCATCAGGAGGCTAGGGCATGGCGTGTAGGGATGTCGCGAACCACCCTTGGTTCGATTTCGAAAGGTTTCGATATTTGCGAAGCGAACGGAGGTTCGATTTCGAAAAATTTCGATATTTTCGTACCGACCAAGGTTCGATTTCGAAAAATTCGCAACTTTTGTCCACAGCGGAGTTTCGAAATCGAAGATTTCGAAGCTTTTACGGTTTCTAAAATTTCGAATTCGAATATTTCGAATATTTTTTTACTTCAGGTTCGATAAATTCGAAGATTTCGAAATTCTTTGTAAAAAAAAATTCGAAAACTTCGAACGCTTCGAATTTTTATAGACATGAAGTTCGAACAATTCGAAGATTTCGAATTTCTTTTGGCATAAAGTTCGAAAAGTTCGAAAGTTTCGATTCTCTTTTAACGCTAAATTAAAAAAAAAAAAAAAAAAACTTCGAAGATTTTGAATTTTTTTTTTAATCCAAGTTTTCAAAGTTTGAAGTCCGATTTTCAAGTTTTTCTACAGTTTCAGTTTCAAATAACGTTTTCACGACTCACTTGTTTTCACAAAATCAAGTTTAGAAAAGTTAGGGTGTGATATCTAGATTCTGCGAAGTTGGTAAGGCAATTAAATGAGACGACGAGTGTCCCGGACGTGCTAGAATATTTGCCAGTGCAGAATTGTGACCGCCAGCCCCGGAAGGGAGGGGGGGGGGGGGGGGGGGGGCCGGGTCTTTATCACGCAGTAATGATTGCACGAACACACTGTTTTACAAGACTCATCCAGTTCGAAACGGCCAGGGGCGAGCAGGAGGTTGAGGATCAGAAAAACCTTGAAGCGACCAGGCAAACTAGCTCGCCACCCCTTGCACGCTGGTAGTAGTCCGATCCGGTGAAGTTTATAATTGTCCTGGAGGTTTATTTTTTGGGACGGAGGAATCGCCTCGCAAAAAGAACAAAAGCCGACACAACTCGAGGTCGAGGAGCGTTCTACCATACAAGTGGCGTCGGAAGAGGAAAAACGGGGGGAAAGAGGGTAGCGGGGGGGGGGGGGGGGGGGGGGGGGGGGGGGCTTCAGCCTTTTTTTCCCCCTTGCAGGTATTTCGGACTGTTAAAGAAAACAATACGGAGAAAGAGGGCGTGGTCGAGCTTATTTTAATCTGAAATTATTTATGCATATGTATAGCTACTGTCGCTCTTCACTGCATAAAAGGTTGCGTAGATGGTCACTGTTAGAAACTCGTTGTTAGAAGGCACTGCTCGTCACATGCTTAGTGGTTCGGAAGTTCAAAGCTGTCTTTTCGACCTAAACACCTGTGCCGACAGTAACAAAAAAAAAAAAAAAAAAAAGAATAAATGCGGGAATAAAATGCAGGAAAGAAAAAAACTATCAAGAATTCGTCGGAAGTGTTCTATTCTTGCATATTCAGAGGTTCAGAACTTCGAAACAAGTTTCTTTTACCAAAATGCGTACAGGCTAAAAGAAACACGTCCCAAAAACGTGAAGCGAAAAAAAAAGAAAGTTTTCTTTTAATGACGTGCTGAACTTGAACACTACTAGAAATCTTCTGCAATGAGTTAATTTATTCCTTAACGTGAAAAAACAATAAATATATTATTTTGTATTCTGCAGATGGCAATGATATGTACTGTCTGTGGTGTTAATTTAAATGCGATACCTCAAACAACTTAGACGAAAATAAATATCAAGTTTAGGTCATAATTGCATGCAGATACATGTTTGGACATTTCTTCGAAACTCACGTTGAATAACAATAATCACATCTTAAGACGGCACTTACCTAGGCTATACATAGATCATTCTTAAAAAAGTATAACATATCTACCATAAATAGCTCCGGCTGCAGCGTGCTTCAAATGTGGCACAAACGATAATCGTCAAAAACCCGTCGTCCGTCCTCGCCCCTTCGGGGATTTATTTCTTTAAACCTAAGCATGCCAGAACATTGAAATAAATGACATTGTCTTTCGTAAGGAACGCAGCACCGCGTGTAAAAGTTCGAGAAAAAAAAATTACGAATGTACCCCACTACTTGAAATCAAATGAAACCATCCGCCGGTCTTTCGAAGTTCGACGAACGTCGAACTTTTACCCTAAAAGTTCGAAGTTCGTCGAACTTCTGACTTTTCAGAATTCGAAAGTTCGAAACTTTTCGAATCTTCTTGATAAATAAGTTCGAAAGTTCGAAATTCATCGAAATTTTTGGTCAGTCAAGTTCGAAAGTTCGACAAGCATCGAACCTTGCAGCGCAATAAGTTCGAAAGTTCGAAAAAGATCGAATTTTTTAGCGTAATAAGTTCGACGGTTCGAAAAGCGTCGAACTTCTTAGCTTAACAAGTTCGAAAATTCGACCTCTGTCGAATTTTACGATATAGACAATTCGAAAAATCGAAATCTTTCGAACCTTTCGAACCGCTTGATTCGATCATCGAAACTTCGATTCGAAAAAAGTTCGCGGCATCCCTAATGGCGTGTTCTCTTCAATGTTTTGCACGAGGCGGTCAATGTCTGGTGTGGGCTCAGCAGCGTTGAAAACACCGGCGAAGTGCTGGGCGAACGACTGTGCAATATCCCGTGGGGATGTGAGAGGGACGTTGTTGTTCACGAAGGTTGGCTTGTTGCTACTGGTCTGTAACCTGCTCATGTACGACCAGAACAGCTTTGGGTCCTCCCTGGCCTTGAGTGCGACGCTGCGGGCGCTGAGCCTCGCTGGTCGCGTTTGCGCTTGGCCGGTGCCTTCGTCTTGACCGCTGCTTTGTCGTCGTCGTCGTCGTCGCACAGGGTAGCCTCCCAACCCCTCGCGAGGTCCGACGGC